AGACTCGCGAAATATTTTAGAATATATAATCTGAAAGAGGAAACATTTCTCTACAAAATCCACGGCCAAATGATATTTTAACCGTGAAGGTGATGGAACGGCCATCAAATCTTTTACCGGCAGAAAAGTTTTTTGGTCCCGATGCCCATCTCTAGTTCTAACACAGGTTAGCAGGCGTTAAAAAAATTTTCAGAAAATTGCGTTTGAACGAGTTAAATTTTCAAATATAGCGCGATAACGTTTGTTCCGAGTGGTAGCAGATTAGATACGATTAAATACGGTTCTAAGAAATTTAACGAGTTTCCACACATTCAGGTTTAATGAGTTCATGCGCATTCATATTTTGTTCACACACACTCAAACACATTTCAGCTGAAATAGTTGATTTTAACGAGTGCAAGTATCAAACGCATTCTAACTCCTTTAAATATTAATACGTCCTTACCTGTTATAATTAAAGTTATAAAATACTTCTAACGATTTCAAACACGTTAAATGCGCATTTTATTAATCTGTTTCAACGCGTTACATTTCTGTAACTAGTTCCAATACGTTAAACTATCATATTTAACGGATTAAGCGTGTGAATTTGATAGAAATTGATGATATGCGGTGTAAACGCGTTTAAAAATAAAGTAATAACAATAAAATAATAATAAATAATAAAGTAATAACATCTACATTTTTGAATAAAAATTTATTTTAACTCGTTAAAACTCGTTGAGCGATGACTCACCGGAATACCTGAGCCTTCAAACGCGCTCAAACCGCGATTTTTCACACACCGTTTTGTTTTGCATGACCAATTCCTACATAAATACGATACCTATTTCTACAAGATATACGATACATTTACACACATTCATAGAAATTTCTCTAGGCTTCCTCTTACTATATATTTATAAGTGTAAGAGACTATTCTAGTCTCCCATAATGGTGCTAATGAACAGCGCCTAGTAGACCATAGCTAGGATGCATCAAAAGAGCAAAAACCTGACCGAAAAGGAAAACAGAAGAAAAACAATAGAAATGTAGTCTAACGCGATAGAATTATATTTTGATCCGACGTGTTATTCTAACTAGTATAATGTAAACGCATTCAGAGACCTCAATTTTTAACGAGTTTGAACGCTTTACGATTAAGGAGAAGCGTTATCACGTGCTACAAATTTTAACTCGTTAGAATCAACGAATATGAAACATTTAACGCGGTTTTAACGTGTTGAACCGCTTCCGTAACGCGTAAGAGTTTAAAAATTTTCGTGATTAACGAGTTTGAACGTAGTGTTCATATTTTTTTATAAGAGCACGTTCGGTCGCATTAGAATTAAATTATAGTTCCATATAAGTTGAAAAATAATGCATTCAACAGCATTTAACTAGTGGACAGGCGTTAAATTTTTCATTTGTTTAACAACTGCTAACGCGCGATAGAGTCATCGGACAAAAAATAAAGTTGGTTTTGAGCTACTGAAAAATGCTTTTTCATATTCACCACACTCGATAACTCGGAAGATTTTCTATGTTTGGCGAGGAATACTTCCAAAAGTTTAGAAAAAATTTTCAAACTAATATTATTTTCCCATGGAGTTTCTTTTGCGCCATTTTATTTCAAAATTTTTCCTAAAATTTTGGAAGTATCCAAAAGTACTTTCGATAAATTAGAAAATCTTCTGGGTTATCGAGTGTGGTGAATACAAAAAAGCTTTCAGCAACTCAAAACCAACTTTATTTTTTTACGTTCCGGTGATATGATCAAAATCATTTCATGGGTAGCTATGTTGTCTATATATAATACAAGTGCTCAAGCACTGCTGTATTAACAAACTTTGGGAGAGTTAAAGATGATAATCATCGCAAGCATTATTTGAAAACAATTGACTGTTCAATAAAAGATATTTTCGTGACCATGATTACGTTTTTTTACGCAACGACTTATCACTCCCTCTATCACGGGAGCGTGATAGAGGGACTTATTACTTAACTATACTCTCAGCTTTAATCACACCGTCCTACCAAAATCACATTTTAAATACTTTTCTCGGTTTTAATTTTGTTAATTTTCGCAAAAAAACGACAGAAAGTGGAAATGCTGCTATTCTTGGGAGTGATAATATAGACATGCCGATTATATAATTATATAATCGGGACTATATGCTCAATTAATTCAATTCGATGTTATAAACAATATCTCTTTTGACACTCTAGTAACATAATCGTCTATCCATGATTAACAGTTTTAGTTTGTTGAAGTCGATATTTCCTACCAGTATTATATTGTTGAGATATTCATATATTATATGTGTTCGGGTTGTTGTGCAGCAACAATCGAGAGCAATGGCTGCGTACTACCAATAATTATAAGTTTCCTGGGTCTCACGATTGAACTTACATTATTGGTTTTTTCTACGTTTATTGTAAATTGGAAAAATGCCGCCGACTGAGGTATAAAACTGATGAAACTAATTCATACGACAGCTTTCAACTGATTACTCTCGCTGAAAATAGAGCAAACATAAATACCCATACATAAAGACATAGACAGTAAAAAGTTTAAAACTTTAAGAGCCAATCTGATGTTCAGAAATTGTCCATTCGAAGTATTTGACCTTTTAGTTAAAACTAGTTTATTTTTAATTTAGAATTCAGATGAAAAAGGATCACAGAAATCAGGAAGTAATAATAACAATGTTTTATTTGATCAATCCAAAAATGAACAAGTATCTCTATCAAATGGATTTAAAAAATTACAAGTTCATCTTAAAATTTGGAAATTATCAAAGTAAGAAATCTTTATTAAAAAATTTCTTCTTAGTTTACACGAATAGAAATGTGTTTGTATTTTCAGTCATCGAGAAGAAATTACGGCTGAACGTCTCACACCATTTCGATTATTTGTTATTGCAAATCCAAAAGAGAAATTTACCACGGGAGAAGTAAATATTCAGTTTTTAATATTTGATCTGTGTAATTTTTCCTTTTTGCTAGTATGATTCAATGAAACGTTACATTGAAAATGGTGGTAGTGTATTGATCACGTTAAACGAAGGAGGAGAAGCGAAACAGTCAACAAATATTAATTTGTTTTTAAAAGATTATGGTGTTCAAGTTAATGAAGGTGAAGAAGATTTATAGCCATGAGATGCTTATTCATAACGCTTTCTTTTCAGATAGTGTTATTCGAGCTGCCTATTTCAAGTACTTCTATCCAAAAGAAGCTCTAATTTTAGACGGTGTTCTAAACAGGTAATATGAATGTTGTTCTCTTCTTACAATTAGTCAACGTTGATTATTTCAGAGCAGTTGCAGATAATGCTCATCAAATAGCATCTACAACAAATAAGAAGACTCAAAATATTGTCGTCGATAAATCAGTACGAGCAAAAGTAGCTAGGTAATATTGTACACTTCTAATCACTTGAGTTATTATTTAAAAATGTTCAAACTTTCATTCTTGCCTTCATTTTAGTTTAATTATAATTGAAAATTTTTTTCTTTTAATAGATCATTGGAATTTGTTTATCCATTTGGTGCATCATTAAATGTTCAACAACCATCGGTTCCTGTGCTATCGACGGGAACAACATGTATTCCATCTCAACGACCGATATGTTCATTTTATACATCACCATCAAAAGTAATATTCATCACAATATTTAAAAATTGATTTTTTTTCCACTGACAATATATTTTTAGGGAGGTGGTCGTTTATGCGTATGTGGTTCCACTCAGATATTTCACGATAGTTATCTTGAAAAAGAACAAAATAAAAAATTATTGGTAAATTTCTCTATGATAAATCTCATATACATCAGTAAAAACTAGATATTTGTAGGACATTATAATGGAATTTCTTACAAATGATAAGTTTAAATTAAATGAAATTGATGCAGAAGAACCAGATGTAAGATCTATTTAATTTTGTGTTAAATAATCGTTTTATTGATGTTTTTAATGATAGATCTCCGACTATAATCAGTCGCCTGATCTTATCGCCATGTCTGAAATGTTAAAATGTAGCTTACATGATGTTGAAGAATTACCAAAAGATGTTCGAAAACTTCTTGATCATCAATTGTTCAATTTAGATTTATCATTAGTACCAAAAATGATACGGTAAACATTTTACTTTTTCATGTCATATATCATTCAATAAGTTTTTTTTGTTTTTAATAGTGCCTATGAAGATCTTCAAATAAAACATGAACCGTTATCATTAATTAAACCACAGTTTGAAACACCTATGCCACTATTGAAACCGGCTGTTTATCCACCGTTGTTTCGTGATGTTGATCCACCAGCATTAGAATTATTTGATCTAGAAGATTATTTTGCATCAGAAACATCACGTTTAAATCAATTAGCAAATAAATGTAATGAACAAGATTTAGAATTTTTTGTAAAAGAATTTGGTAATATAGCTGGAATATCAAGCAGAATACCCGCTGATCAACGTGATGCTAAACATATATTAGATTATGTGTTAACACAACTGTTTGAATTTAAGCGTTTAAATGTTGAACAAGGGGTAAATATTATAATTTCTCTTGTTTTATTTATCATCTATCTGCTTTTGACTTTATTTTCTTTTTAGTTGGATGATTATGAACCAGGTATGTATGGATCAAAGATCGTCGATTCAGATAGTCTTCAATGGAATTCAAGACCGACAGTTGCCTCTAATTATGATCGTCTCGTTGTTGACGAATAATGCTGATTTTTTTTTTTTTATTTCTATCATTTTCAAATATTTGTAAAATATTCACAAAAATTAGATCGTGCATATTGTTATTTTTATTGTCTTGATCAGAGATACCTGTTGAATTGCAATAAAAAATTTTAAAAAGTCTTTGTAATAGATAGACTATCCTTAAAAAATGTTCATTGTTTATCTTCTCTTACTTTTAAGTTGTTTGGAAGTCCAATAGAAATTATGACTCAAGAAAAATAAAACTAACATTTGATTGATTGAAAAGTGTCTTGCTTTTAACTCTGTTGTTGATAAACGAACTTACAGCGCTCATTTGAGTTTCTTTAATTATTGTACCTCTTGCACAATCATTCATATTTTTCTTGATTAAAAAGACAAAGGTCTAAGATTCTGAATTTTTTGTTTATGGATTCTATCATAACTCCCTCGCTTATTTGGCTATGCCGTATAACTCGGCACTGTTCAGGACATCTTTCAAATTTCATTATTTTTTATTCTAACTGAAAAATATTATTTATGTCTCAATTTTTTAAATTCCCTTGAATCATGGTTATCAATCTCAGGAGTGAGATACTATCACTAGTATCAGTCCATCGACTAAGGCTACTAGTTCCAGACAAACTTCGATGCCTTATATATCAGAGAAAGAGAAAAATTTTGGAGTTATTCGAAAAAAATCAATGTACAAATGTTGATAGAAAAATAATAGAGGTGAATGACTTGTAGATAGAATGACCTAAAAACGGCGATCGTTAACGGACCGCTTTTAGACCGTTTACTTACGTTGTTGAAAGGGTCGGTTTACGATGACATTAACGGAGAATTTTTACATCGTTTTCATACGAACCGTTCCGTTTGAGCTGGGCGGTTATCATATCATATAACTGGCATGTTCTTTTGATTAGTCTCGTTAAACAAAATTGAATCATCAAATTTGTTCCGAATCCTTGCATCAAGTATCATAACCACTGATATCAGTCCATTGATTAAAGATGATTTGAAAAAATCTTTTGACAAATGACTTGAAAAGTGTAATCGTATGTGGCTAATTATAACTACTAGTTCGAACATGTGAAAAATTAAAAATTTGATGAACTCTTTTCTGTGAGTTTTCTTTAAAAAATCTTGAAACTTTTGATACGCCCTAGGCAAGTACATTGGTAATAAAATTTATGGAAATCGACATTTCATCAACCATATGTGCCATCATCATTTATTCACTAAACTTTAATCGAAATCCAACAGCGAATTGGTTAGAAATTTTTTATAATTTAATTTAGTTTTATAAACATTTTTGTATGTAATTGGTAGAGTTTTCATTAAGAAAAGTATAACCAAAGCAGCGGTTTTAATCATTTTGAAACGTTTTGATTTATTAAAAAATCATTGTCAAGGATATATACAGAAAAACAGAAGATTTTCTTTTAAACTGAATGGTATAATTTATATTTATATACTGTACGAATTTCTCT